TACATTTGTTACAACAGCAAAAGAAAAAAAATTCAGTCTTAGGCTTGCAAGTGGCAGATTCAACTATTTTAAAAACTTTTTCCTTAAGTATCTTTAATATGATATTATAACAAGTAGAAGGATACATTTATTAAAGTAAAAAAAAGTTTTAATTTAAGCCAAAAAGGTTAAAGTAGTAAAAAGAAATAGAGAAAAAAATATCAGTCCCTTCACCTCAAACGGAGAAACAAGAAAAGTTGCAATCACTTCAATCCACAAAACATAGTTACAGGCAAGAGCAAAAAACTTTCTAGGGCAGTCCAATAGGGATTAAAAATGCCGCTTTATTCTTACTCAAGGGACTAATTTAGCTCAAGAAAAAGGTTTCTTATGGCAATCTTCTAAAAGCATAGGGAAAAAAACCCTCACCAGATGGAACACTTTCACTTCTCTTTCTGGTGCCATCTCCAACTATGTCAGCTTGGGGACTGCCTGTTTGCTGCTGGTTGGAAGTGCTTCCCTTGGGTCGATCAGGGACTTTGCGATGTCCCTGTGACCAGCAAGGTCTTGTCTTCCCAGTCACCGTCTCTTCGGGATGGTTTAGGTCCTGCTGGACCATCCAGGGGCAAAAGTGTCATCGGCGGATTCGGACTGTTGAGTCCGCACGATGTAACGTTGCGACGTTGGCTCCTCCTCCTCTAATGGAACAACTTCTGTGAAAATAGTTGAGGAAGGACAGCTTTAACATCTTTTTTAAAATGGATGTAATGGTAGTTTCATGTAATTCTGAAGGCATTCACCTACTCATCTTTTTCTCCACAGAGTGGAATTTCAAAGGTTTTGCACGGTTGATTTTGTGGAGATCTTTGATGGCCCTTTCTCAACATCCCGTTCATTTGGAAAAATTTGTTGGAAGCCACGAAAGAAATACATATCCTCGTCAAACAAAATGACAATTGTATTTATAAGTGATGGTAGCACAAATGAAAGAGGCTTTCTTGCACGCTATCGAGAAGTCCCTCCAAGGAAAACTGTGATTCCAAGTAAGGCTGCTTCACAATTATCCTTCTCTTGTCCAATTTCTGTATTGTTACCAGTAACTTGGGCGTTGCTCCACTTCTTTCCCTTCTTTCCTAAAAGAACTCTTATATTTCACAGATATCTCAGTTGGATATTTTAGTCCCTTCAATATACAGAGAGCCCCTTTGGCGAACTGGTTTTCTCTGTACCTACAAATATAAAACTAAGGTTGTTGAGAGTGTAGAATAAAAGAAGCAAAGTGGATGGGGGCTTGTTGCTGCCTAGGTTTTCCATCTTTGGGGGTCGGGGGGCGAGTCATTGCCATGCTGTTTTATTTGATAGTCTTTCTGTTTTCTTTTGTTGGAAGAAATGTCCTTCTGGATTCAGTTCCAAGTGNCAATGGAAGCTGGGGAACAATTTGTGACGATGGCTGGGACATGAATGACACACAGGTTGTGTGTAAGCAGCTTGCCTGTGGAGAGGCCCTTCAAGCCTTATCTAATGCCGCATTTGGGGAAGAAACCGGCAGCATCTTCCTTAAATGCATTCAATCCATTTATATAAAGAGGAACATAGGTCACAATATCTAGAGTTGTACTGTACACACACACATGCATGCCCATTCATACACAGAGGCCAAAGGTTATCTGACAAAAATAAACAAATCAGGTTGGGAATCACTGAAATGCCTTTTTGAAGTGAGCCCTCGGAGCGTCAACGCAATGTGTCGTTGGGAGAAAATGCCGTTTATATTCTTTTGACAATTGCAGAATTGGTAACGACAGCAAGCTCATTGACTGTAAGGTTGATGGATGGAAAAAACAGATGCCAGGGCCGCCTTGAAATCTTTCACAATGGGACCTGGGGAACAGTCTGTGATGACGGTTGGGACTCACCAGATGCAGAGGTTGTATGTAGACAACTTGCCTGTGGAGGAGTTATGGCAGCCACCAATGAAGCCTATTTTGGGGAAGGCACCGGCAACATCCTCCTAGAAAATGTTCAGTGCAAAGGGAATGAATCCTCTATAGAAGAGTGCTCCCATTCAGGCTGGGGAATTCATCGTTGTGGCCACAAGGAAGATGCTGGTGTCATTTGCTCAGGTAACCATCGCCACTGTTGTTAGTATAAAATGATTTCATTGGCGCCTTTGTAGCAAAATATTATGAAAGCTTCCCTATTCCTCAGAGGAAGAGCTTACTTTTTGTATTTTCCCCCCATAGAAACAGTTTCCCTTACAACAAAGAATCCCATTATACTTAGTAAGTATCATTGTCTTTGCAAATGGTAAATAGTGTATTTGAGAAGTGATCTCATTTTGCATAGAACAACATATCGTAAAATAAGAAATAGGGAATGCTGAAATTCCTGAATAATGTTATTTAGTGATATAAAAAATGTCAGTGACATCTGTTCTGTGAAACTGATGTGTTATGCCTCAGACTGATTTTCATTGAACACTGAAACATTACTTTTTAAATTCCTGCTGTTATTAACCGGTGGTGAAAATTAACATACTAGAGTTTTGCTATGAAGGCTCTGTCTGTGTTGTAAATAAATACTGATAAAATAAGAACAATTAGTTATGTGCATTCAAAATGATAATCAAAACCAAAAGCATATATTCTAAACTATACTTTCTGATTTTAATAGACTTGCAAAATATTCCAGAGAATAATTAAAATTACTCTGTGGAGAAACATCAAACTATCAGATTCTTGTGTCTGTTTTTCTTTCCTTTCTTCATTTATTAAACTAACTATTTCTTTTCTTTTGGTTTCTGTAGCTCCCACAAAAAATACACCAGAAGTGCCAGGTATTTACATTTGGATCATTTGTTTTTTTAATAAACTCGATCTGTGCATTTTAGTGCAAACATTATGCATGGACATATTCTTTTGTGTCTTTAATATGTTGCATTGCAGAACCTCCAATATAATGTTTTATTTGAGCAAATGCATTTTTCAAAGTTTTTTTTTATTATTTTAGAAGTTTTTCTGGTGTACTCCCTAAAATAACCTCCCTTTTTTTGCATTTAAGATTATTTTCAGTCCTAATGTTAAATTATATTTGCTCTATTTATAACCAGTTCGCGCACTAAGTACCCGGAATCCAACTACTAAACCTGTTCCTGCAGTAACCAAACCAAATCCAATTACTCCAGGTCAGTAGATTACCCAACCTCCTGATTAATGGACTTGACTAGTTATAACTAAATGCTGAATAATGTTCTGTGGTGACTTCTTTTCCTTATGCAAAGCAAACAAAATATTCCAAGCTCATTTTTGCCTGGAAAAATGCAAATATAGAAAATTATATGGGATATTTATTTTGTTTCCACTCCATTATTTTTCTCAGCCCATCCTCCATGCTACCATTTTTATTTGGTCTATCTATGTGTTAAATGTATTCAAGCCTTCAATATATGTATTTAAGTAGCAGGAGAAAAGGTTGAACAGTCTTGCCTAGAGTTGTAATAGGTGGGAAATTCGCCTAGCCTTTTCTGTATATACATACAAATATACCATTATTTTTGGTGAAAGGCTTATGAGATCTAATAGGGTAGGTAGAGATAACCAAGTGAAACAATGTATTCAAGTATTACACTCCCAAGTAGTTAGCCTACTACCAAGAAGAGAAAGATTTTAATCCAACATCACTCAAGGAAAAATAGATTTTGAGACATTGGGTGGGTCAATGTGTATGAGAGTAATTGGTTAGTGTTTGCTGTTAGAGGTGGACTGTTACAATACAAGGAAGGTTGTTTCTGGACTGCAACTAGCTATTAGCCATGCTCAATAGGCTTACTAAGCTCTTAAAGCAGATGGTGCTTCAAATAATTGTGGATAATTGGAGTATCTGTTCTCCCATGTGTTCTAAGCACTCTTTGGAATGAAATACTAAGTACAAATATAATTTTTGGGTTCACCGACAAATGCGCGCTCGACAAAAGTGCGGCGATGAAACTGCAGCGAGAAAACCGTGAGGTCGAAATCGCGCCGACGAATGGGCGCAGAAGCGTGCCGACAACAGCGCGCCAACAAAAACACGCCTTCAATAAACAACTAATAACAACCTAATAACCCTAACCCTAATCCTAACCCTAAACCTAACCCTAAACCTAACCCTGAACCTAACCCTAAACCTAACCCTGAACCTAACCCTAAA